CCTGTGTCGTTTCAGCCTGAAAGCCTGAAAACAAGGGCCTACAGGCCCTGTGTCGTTTCAGCCTAGAACAGGGCCCTCCAGGCCCTGAGTCTTTTCAGCGTGAAACGGAGGGCCATTTTCAGGCCCTCATGAGATCGACCTGCCCTGAAACTTAGGCACCAGACCAGGGTTTTAGCACAGGCCATTTTGGGCCTGTTTTCAAGACAACCTTGTTTGAGCTTCAATGCCAGGGTCTGGCACGTTTTGGCATTGGCAAGAGCAGCCTCCTGGACGGGCCAGCACTATATAAGACTGGCCCACCCTGCAGGCTGCAGGTAGTTCATAGGGACTTCCCAGGCACTTCACGTGCAGTTCAGGAGGCAGGAGGTAGTCTTCAGGATTCGGCAGCAGCACTCTGGAGGAGCGCTGCAGTAGTAGTAGTAGCAGTAGCAGTAGTCTTCAGCGCTGGGCGCTATTAGGAGCTAGAGTAGCACTGGAGAGAGATAGAGACTGGGCGGAGGCCAGGGAGACTTCTGCAGCGCCATAGCTCCAGCTCGTCGTCGAGGTACCTGCAGCACAGCGCCATCTTCACAGGTTAGTACCTGGCACATGAGAGAGAGAGAGAGAGAGAGAGAGAGAGAGAGAGTTCTTCTTCTTCCTCTTCTCAGTCCACCATCTCCCTCTCACCGTCTCGCTACCTGACTTCACGGCATCAGCAGACTACGAGAGAGCGGGCTTGGTGACATTTGGATCCAGACTCGACATTGGGCTTCAGACATTTGACGAGGGATTATCTGGGACTTGTACCGAAGACTTGGTGTTGACGACATTCCCATCTTCCCCCTCTTCTTCGTTTGATCCCCTCCTCTTYRYCTGTGTATGGTCTGGACCTGGCGCATTCTTCCTGTGTGTAGCGCCAGGCCCCTTCACACCTTGTGATGAGGATGATGTATGTTTGGTCTGCATTGCGACATTGATTGGGCTAGTCATTGGTATTCTAGCATTCCGCTGCGCTGTCTTGTACTACGTGAGAGAGGTCAGTCCCGGTCAGGTCAGGGCTTATATCCAAGTCTTCTACTGCGCTACAAGGTGCCATTTTGTATGTATCAGGATGTACATTGCTTGTTGAGATTCCACTAACACCGCATTGTCCATTCAGTCCTTTTTATCACATTGCGCATCCTTGGCTATATATATACATCGCCCAACTGGGCTTGTAACACATCCACAGAACAGCAATGGAAACCCAGCAAGGATAAAACAAATTCTTTTTCTTTGCCTGTTTTCATAACATCTACTCACCCTCACACTTTCTTCCTTCTCCAATGCCTCCCAATGCATACAATAGCAAACCTACAAAATCACACCTTCTTCTTTACATCTGCACACCAACAGTGTGCTAAACAAATGACAAGCAAAAAGAGCACTTTTGGTCTGCAGCCTGCAGGTATCAAATCAGTGAACAAGTTGACGACAACAGTTATCCATAAGTAGCAAGGATGAATTTTCATTTAACTTTTTAAAAATAATTAGGTAACGAGAGCGTCAGTTTTTATAGCTTTTTAAGTAACGATATTTTTTTCATTCTTTTTTTTTTAATAAAAAGTTTGGACCATTTCTCGATTTATGCATGTCATCCTTGCGCAGGGGCCATGCTAATCTTCATTCTCTGTATCGTTCCAATTTTAACGGATGTCCCGAAGGACGAAGTAACGAGAATTTAACCTGACGAAAAGGGGGGAAAAAGGAAAAGTGGTGAGCAACATTTTTCCAGTCATCTATCAGAGTCTGAGTGTGCCTGCCTTTGCCAGCTGCATGAGGACTTTCTACTCATTTCTGAGGGCGTACCTCAGGGCATATACTCACAGGAGGACTTTTTACTTGTTTCTGGATGGCATTACAGCCAGATGCATCCAGGTCCAGCCGGAAATGCGGTCATGTACATTTAAGATTGTGCGAATACGCCCTTAGTCTGCAGGTTGACCAAGTCAACAATGATTTTCAATCGGTAATGAGAGTGTCATTTACAATCAAGAAAGGGGGCAAAGGCGGGGAGAGTCCTGTGTGCAGTCCTTATGTTATGTAGATCACTGGTCGATTCTTAAGCACTTTTGCTAGCGGTCACGGTGTTTGTGCCTGTTTGTGTGGTCTGGCCTGTTTCAATGGGCGGTGAAGTTACGGCAGCTTGAATTTGCTTTTTGTCAGGTTTTTTTTTTTTTTTTTTTTTTTTTTTTTTTTTTTTTTTTTTTTGTGTGTGTGTGTGTGCGCACGCGCATTGTGTTTAGGGAAACGTTTTTGACAGGGAAAAGTTATAACCCCCCACCCCCCGCGGCAAATCCTTTGTATTTGTTTGCCCCAAATGGGGCAAAAAGTGTGGCCATACCATAAAAGTCAAAGCGAACTCTCACGTCAGTTTTGCACCCTTGCTTGCTGGGCGAGTGACGCCAGTAGGGCCAGCTGTGCAAAAATGGCAGAAAAGTCTTTTTCAGGCCGCAGCGGGGTGGGAAAATGACGTGAGAAGGTTGTTTTAGCACCTCGCACACCTTTTGCAGCATTTGGGGGCGAACAAATACAGAGGTTTTGTCGCGGGAGAGATTTGTAGCTTTTCCCTTTTTGATACGTGCATGACCACCTTCCCGCCTCCGTTTCCCTGCCTGAGGCCCTGAACATGCTCTCCTTGTTTCTCTTTGTCGGCTGTTGATTATTCCATGGGTGGGACTGAAACATGCATGCATGCATGCTGGTTCTCTATTGGACTGCAATGATTTATCCGCTTCTTTTGCACCGCTCCAGATCTTACTGGGTTGGTTGACGGGCAATCAAGATTGTTACGATGCGGCCACATTTAAGAACAAAAAGTATTTGGAAGGACATTTCGATCGAGATGCCGTTCACTGGGAACACGGTCGGCAGTACGTGTTTTCCCAGGAGTCGTTTCAACGGTTCAAGCAAGATCCGTCTCACCGTCTGTTCATGAACGGTCTGTACTTTGCCGTCAATATGAGTCAGGGGGCAGGCGTGATGACCGGCCTGGATTCGAGAGCATTGAACCTAATTGCAGCCAAAGTTTCAGGAGATACCCGTTTCCGGCCGAGGTTGTTGGACCAGAACACCGAGTACTTGAGCCAGCTCTTAGAGTGGTCTAAAGGGCGAATCCGATGCACTATGAACACCAAGCAAGTCTTGACATTGTACGCGGCCAGAAGGGAATGGGCAGACCAAGTACTGTTTGTACAGATTGAGGGAGGGGGCAAGCGATCAGCTATGCGCAGTCAAGCGAGTGCTGTTGCTACCGACCTTAGCGGCTCAACGTCTGGTCCTGGTGATGTCAGCGTCGGATTGGCGAACGGAGAAGTGAAGCCTGAAGAAGACATCTTGTCTGGCGACGGCGGGAGAGGCATGGACACGGAGGAGGTGGAGGATAAGCAGCAGCAGGAAGGCAGGGTGTAAGTCGTTCAGAACTATGGGAGGAGGTGGAGATGGGAGAGCGTGCTTTTGCCCAGGTGTGAGGCAAGCTTGCAATCGCGCCGAGAGATGTGTGCGAACTTCGCAGGGGTGGTCTGGAAAAGAGCATCACAGAAAGAGGTAAACAAGATCTGAACGGCGGTATTGTGTATTTTACAGTCTCAGACTCACAGTGCATACAACAGAGATGTCATTCAACCCCATAGCATCTCTCGGCTCACACACACACACACACACACACACACACACAAAAAAAAAAAAAAAAAAAAAAAAAAAAAAAAAAAAAAAAAAAAAAAGCATCTCTCAGCTCACCATCGTCAGATTACGACTTAAGAGTCTTAGAGCAGCAGAAGAGCTGGCTTTTTCCTTAGTGTTGTGTACGGGTGCCTTTTGCCTGTGTGCGTATGTCGCAAAAAGGGGGGGCAGTGTGCTGCTATGCATGAAGGCTGAAAATAAAGTGGAGATAGCAAGCACTGAGATCGGCAAAGTCTCCCTCAGGGCACGGTTTCTCCTTAACATCGGATGGAGTTTCGCAGACGAGATGGACGAGCTGTGTGCTTGATCGAATGCAGCTGATGCGTATGGACAAGTTCAGGCGTGCAGTGTCTTGTCACTGCAACTTTCACTGTTGTCCATTGTCTGGGTCTCAAGCCCATAGGTATTCTGATGTACACCCTGTGCGGTCCAAAGACTTCACACGAACACCGATGATATGAACGAGTCTGCGCTTGCTGCTGTTGCCGCATTGCAAGTCTGTGCTGAATCAGCTCATTTGCCGTTATCTGATTTGGGGGGGGGAGGGCAGGGCGGGGGGGGTGTGGAGGGCCCCTTTTTTTATCAGTATATGTTTTCATCAACTGTGGAGACCCGTGATTACGATACCAAGGGTTCCGTGAGTGCTGGAACGGCGTTTTAACAAGTTTGATATGGAAGGCTGTGTGGTCGAGGGAAGACTTGGAACAACCAGTTCCTTGTGGAATGCATGGAGAAAGGATGCAAGGGGAGCAGGGTGTCAGAGACACTCTGCTTCTGTGCAGAACACAAACATGCTGGGTCACGTTAGAAGACCTGTTGAAAACAAATCGACTCACTGTACACTATTGGTGGCCAAATGGAATGTGCGCAGCAACCTGTTATTTACTTTTTCAGAGTGTTTCTCTTTCAGCACACACACACACACACACACACACACACACACTAAGCTCCCTTCTATTCTGTGCAGCAGTGAAGAGCAGGAAGTGGGATTTTCGTCTTCTTATGCTGTCATGGAAGTGGAGCATCACAACTCTAAGTGGCTTGTCTAGTTCATGCTGCCAAGCGCCTTCTGCAGCAGGAGAGTCTGGAGAGGTGACGTGTCCGTCATCCTGCGTGATTTCAGCAGGGGAGGTAACATGTCCATCTTCCTGCTGGATCTCATAGGGTGGGAGTCCCCGACAGCTGACCCACAAAAGCTACACAAGGGGCATAGTCCCACTATATGATTTCCCCTTTAAAACCCACCAGTACCAAGGTGACACAGTGACCCCTACGATAGTCTATGATGGTAGATTCTACTGACCACCGGTGAGATCTTTGCTGTGAGCTATAGGAAACCCTTTGGCCTACGATGATAGGACTTTACCCGATGCCTCTGTGATTTTTTTAGCGAGGTTACGGAAACTCAGCCGCTCAGCGTGACATACGTCACCAGGTAAATCATCTTGCTAATGCTTGAGCGCACAGAAGATATAGCTTGCTGTTTGACATTCTGTGCCATCCATCGAAAGGTACCTTACACAGATAACCTTATCGACAAAGCTACCGTCTTCCCCCGAACACAATGCACCCTCATTTCGACTGTATCAGGACGGAAACATACCTTGTATACATTCATTTTCAGTCTGCATTGTGTTCAGGTGAAGACGGAAGCCGAAGTTTACAGTTCTCTTAGCCCTTAGTCATCATCCTGCACGTAAAACGCCCAAGAGTGAGGAGGCTGCTGCAGCGAGCGGACCGTCCTTTGCAGTAGCTTGATGTGGTACCAGTGATGGGAAGACTGACCTACAGCGAGGTTTCTGTGGCGTGGATTTGGAAACACTGGACGTCGCCCCTAGACTCTGAATGTCGTGGGAGTTTGGTTGTCGAGGTGGCCGCTCGTATTTCGCAACGAACAACGTCGACAAGGAAGGAACTTCAATGGGAAGAGAATGGGTGGCGCATTTGTTTGTTTCGGCAATATGTATGGAGCATGTGTTTCTGGCTAGGGGGTGATTTTTCCAGCACATGCTGAAAAGGATTTGCCACTGTGAAGATTTGTAAGTCAAACGGAATGAATGAAAAGCTGGCTGCTATGCATCACATCATCGCACACATGATGGGAGTGAGGAGGGGGAATAAGGAAAGGATTGTGGTGCCTGCCAATTGGATTCCAGGTGGGTACAGGATATGGAACCGCGGTGAGGGGGTGCGCTCCTCAAGATGGCGAGGACGACTGTTTGCCCAACCTCAAGAGGGCAGCTAGTACTTTCAAGGGCCATGATTGCACGAGCATTCGGTCTCAAGGGTTCCTATCGCCGAAGACGCACAGTTTCACTTTCTATGGCATCAGTGCCCCATGCCACGATAGCGAATGTTATTCTCAGCTATACTCCAGCCATACCCCAGCTATACCCCAGCTATTGCCAGCTATTTCGTGGATATGGTGAGGACATGCCACTGCATTGGGGAGCGATGGGCATCATCTCGAAGGTCAAGCAGGGCAGACAAGCCCTTCAGGAGGTATTATGACAGAACCGAAGGAGATATCGACACCCGCAACATTGATGCGAAAAGAGGCAGCAGGGCAGCGATGAGGAGGTAAAAGTAAAAGTGATGACAACCGCCGGCGAATAGGCCTGAGAAGATGGAGACGGAAATCTCTGGAGGAGTAAGGAGGGCGTGGTGGCCGAACAGGGCGAGGGGGGTTGGTTTTGTCGGCGGGGTGGGGGGCGGAACAGGAGGGATCTGTTTCCGGTTGGTATATACTGTGGCCACTTGCTCGGAAGGCGGTTGTGTGAAGACCCCGATGCCTAATTTTCCCCTGTCGCTGTCCATTCGTCCAGAAGAAGGAAAGTGCGACATGCTGGATTCTATGGTGCAGCATTCAATTTGGTGCCCTTGCAGTTAGCATCAGTCGACCGGAAGAGCTCACCTAATGTCTAGAAGCTTTAGATCCTATAAGGAGTAGCCAATCTGTTTATGGCATAGCATCTAGCTACTTAGTCTAGCTGTGCACTGTGCAGTAAGGGTCTCCTCCTTACGGTCTCGTTCTTACGTGTTAGAGAAGTTACAACGAAGGAATTCGAATTACCTTACAAAGATTTTTTATTTTATTTTTTTATTTTTTTTTATTTTTTTTTATTTTTTTTTAACCTTACAAAGGTACAACTTGCAACCAAGACTGTGAACAGTGTGAAGATTTTTTTTATTTTTTTTTCATTCGTGGTCCAGGGTTTGCAGACCCTGATGTGCAATTATTTCAATTTATATGCCTGTTTACAGCTCGGCGTTCTCGTTGACATGCAGTGTTAAGTCATGTGAATTCTTTTTCACCCTTATAGAATAAAATTATTAAAAGAAGAGAGAGGAGGAGTACGAGTGTATTAGCCTAGTAGTATTAGGAGAGTCAAGGAAAAAGGTTACTATAATGGTCTTTGGATTTTTTTGGATTCAGAATCTCAGATTTGTCACTTTTTGGGATTTTTGAACATTTTTCTCCTTTAGTGGAAAGAGAAGCTGTGGGATTGTTGCTCACTGTCAAGGTTTTGCTTTGTCATTGGGAATTATTGTTTAGTTATTTACTAATTGGTGATGTCTGCCTGCACACTTTGAGAACTTTTGAGATGTTCGTCAACTGATGAAATGGATTTTCCACGCAAGGTTCCAGTTGGCTTTTGTTGTTGCATGTAAGGATCTTCTTCTTCTTCGTCGTTGTCGTCATCGTCGTCTTCTTCTTCTGTTTTCTTCTTCTTCTTCTTCTTCTTCTTCTTCTTTTCTTCTTCTTCTTCTTCTTCTTCTTCTTCTTCTTCTTCTTCTTCTTCTTCTTCTTTTCTTCTTCTTCTTCTTCTTCTTCTTCTTCTTCTTCTTCTTNCTTCTTCTTCTTCTTCTTTTCTTCTTCTTCTTCTTCTTCTTCTTCTTCTTCTTTTCATTGTCTCCTTTTCTTCGTCTTCGTTGTCGTTGTCTTCTTCGTCTTGTCCAACTTCGTCTTCATTGTTGTCATTGAAGTCCTCTTCTCTTCCTCTTCTTCGTCTTGTCCAGCTTTCGGATATGCTTGTTCTCTCCGAACTGTGACTGAGTGGCCATTTCTTTGCAATTTACATATTGGTGTGATTTTAAATTTATCATTTTTTTTATTTTTTTTTTTTTAAAGCTATATTCTTCTCTCAAATTCACCTCACACTACCTACCTACCTAAGACTATATAGAGGGGACCCCTGCAAGCATAGGGCCTCACTAACAAGGGAATTCATGTTGCCCTTCGAGGGGTGGGGCCGCTGGTGGGGGTCCGGCTAACGCAAAGACCGAGCATTTTGCCAGTACCTGCACCTCCCTTTATCAATTTTTATGATGTGTGTGGATCATTTTTGGGCTTTTTTTTTTTTTGCATCTTTTTATTTCGTCTGCTACGCCTAGGCGCAAATATTTACTGCAAAAGAAATCCCTGCCTGTCTCGCAAATGTGGAAGCGCCGGGCATGCCGTTCGTTTTCGAACCTGCAACCCAGGTGTGCCATTTGACCTGTTTTGTCGCGTTGGCACATATTTAGTGTGCCCTTTGTCGTAGAGACAATTTCTTATGAAGTGCACAGCACTGCACGCTAAGCTAGGCGAGTGCTAACTCAGCACACACACTTCAAATGGCACACACGGGTTTGCATTAGAACTGTGAGCTGAGTTGGCGCATAGCTCTGCTGGCGAGCCGCGCTCTCAAGTACATTCGTTTTTTTTGTTTTTCTTTTTCTTTTTCATTTTTCACTTGCACCGCTATAGCACCATCCATTGGCAAGCACTGTCACGACGACTGCCATTGATAAATCTGTTCGGCGGCCGTCGTTTTGTTTCGGCCTCCGAAAAGGTCGGTGGCGCACCGGAGGCCCGCTATTTTCCCACGCGCCAAAGGTACTAGTGGTTTAAGGAGGAGGAGTTAGCGGGAAGGTAGAAGAAGGAAATGAGAGTGCGGGGTAGAAGAAAGCATATATGGCTGTTCTCCAGCGGCTTTGAGCAGAGGGAAAGGCTACGTTACAACCATAGCGACTTCAAATCCGACATTGGGTTCTATAGTAGAATATTGATTATGGCGGTAGGGAGGAATGGACCGTCAGAAGAGAGTCGGCGAGCAATGGTGAAGAAGGGCAAAGGAGGAAGACGGTGTCTCTCGCTCATTACTCAACGAAAATGAGGGGGGGAAGATAATAATATGGGGTTTTGGGCCCTATCGAGTTCAACTATGGCGTTAGTTTTTTGTGATAAGCCAGTAGTTAGGTCAGTGCGAGCGTTAAGAGCTGTGCATGGGGAAAATATTGGAGTGGCAATGGATTGCCCATGTTTTAGCAAAATATTTGGTCTTTTTTTTTATGTAGTGAGTAGTGGAACGGAGTGCCATCTTGATTGTTATGATCACGGTTTTGAACGTTGTCGCTCGTGGCCCTCGTCGCGTGTTCTTCTTTGTGGGGTTCATGGTCGTGTTGGCTCGTTACTATCATGGTCGTTTTCCTTACGTCCTCCAGAGTGTTCGTTTCAGTCGCAAAGGTCGTCCTCCTCGCATGGGTATTTAGCAACTGAATCCTGGTGGTCGCGTTCGTCATTAAGGCTTGCGTGGTTCATCTTAGTAGTCACCATCCTCGTTCTCGACGGTGATGGCCTTCGTTCATCATGGGGGTTTGCTCTTCGTTGCAGTTGTCCTTGTGATTGTGGTTTCCTCTATGTTAATCGCCTTCGCCACATAGCCCCACTTCGTGGTGTCTTCGGCAATAGTAGTGGTGTCGTGTGTCCTCGGGGAGTACTTCCCCACATAGACGTGGGTTAGAATGCATGAACTTGACCGAGGTGTTGACCAGGTGCATCGGATGACAGAGGACTTCGACCAGCGTGTATCTTCCCATGTGTTAGCGGAAGATTCACTTTCAGTTTGTACATTTGGTGAGTATGAGAGCATTTGCATTGTTGCCACCATAGACGTCATCTGATTGCGTTGCTCATCATCAAGGTGTTCCATCTTCTTCGTAGTCGCCGTCAAGATCGTAGTCCGGGTCATCGTCATTTTTTGCGAACTGGTCGTCGATGGGCGTGGTGCATCCCCGTGTTCGTTGTGCTGCTTGTCGGAATCACCTTCATCGTGCTCGTGGTATTGTCGTTCGTATCGGTAATTGTCCTTATCGGCGGCTGTTATCAGGCTGTTGCGGATCACGTTGGTGGTAACGGTTGTAATCTTAATCTTAGGCTTGTTCGTTGGGGTGCTCACATTCGAAGGGTATTGCTTTTGGTCCTATTGTAGTGGCACTTTCCTTTTCCCTACCTTGGTGTTGTATCTTCCCATGCTGTAGTAGAAGTTTCATTCTCATTTTGCACAGTTTTTGAGTTGTGTGTCGGGGATATCGTTGTTCCTTGCGTTAATTCGTGATTGACAAGGTGCTTATGACCATCATGTTGCTCACTGTACTCGTGGTCGCGGCCGTTTTGAGGTGCTCGGCTGCATTATGAGCGCCTAGTCACGGGTGTCGTGAGATACGGTAGCAAAGAAGGGGAGGAGGGACAGAACACTTACCTGGTTGGGTAGTGCTTGGTGCCTCATGTCTGGGATGTTGCTTCTCCTAGGCATGGTCGTATCCGTCGTACTGCCTAATCGGAATCGCCTTCCTGATATCCATCGTCAGTGCATTGGTGATAGGATTTGTATCTCACCAGGGGCCTGAGCTAAGTACACCCCACAAGGAGGAAAAGGGATATGAGCAAAGGGCGATGGGGAAGTGGTTTATCCATGAAGCATAAGCCAATACACGAGTTGCTGCTCATGTTGGAAGGAAGTCGAGAGGAGGGTTGGCTGCCATCATGATACGAATGCACACCGGCCAGACATAGCAAAGGACTCGGTTTTCTTCGGACTAAGAGTGTGGGGATTCGACCCGTAGATTGCAGCCGCAACTGACTGTTGTCGCTCTCCTGGCAGGCTACCAGCCAGGAGAGGTCACAACAACGCAACGACTATTTTTTGTTTGACAACAAGTTATTACTATTTTTTCCCAACAGGCGCCGTCGTGGTCTTGCCACGTTGTGCTCTTGCTATTATGTGTTGTGCTTGCGTTGTTGAGGGATTTCCAACTGCGTTGTTGTTGTGTGCTTGAGTGTAGTTGGGCTCGTGTGTTGCTGCTTTATTAAGTAGCTACAAAACTCAGTCTGTGGAGTACGTTGCTACATCATAGTTGGTCCTTGGAGGGCCCTTACTGCTCATCCTTGGCAATGTCTACTCGCAGTTTGGTGTTATTAGCACTAATCTCTACAACATACGGAGTGTTGTTGCGGGTCATCTCAAGGAGCATTTGTCTTTGGATTGTTGCAGTTGTTGTGGGGTGTTGAGCTGCTACTGCTGAGCTAAAGAAAGGATGTTGTCGCAGGGGGTTTTGCTACGCAGTTGTTGCCTTTGTTGTGCCTTTGCTGCTACATCTGGGCCACTTTGCTAAATTTGTTGGTGCTAAGCGACCAGTTTGTTGCGGCGACGTATTTAGGTCTTGGTGCTGACCTTTACAGTGGGTTGTTGTTACAACACCGTGAAGTGCGTTGTCGCTGCGACCACTGTTTGTACTGGGGCTATTCAAGCCCATTTTTGAATAGAGCAAAGGGTTGTGCTATGTTCGAACGTAAACTTTTAAGGTTGCGCAGTTGCAGTTTAGTCAGAGATGAGGCATCGAAACCTTAGAGGGGTGACCAGGCTTTGCAGGGGGGGCACTGTTGCGACTTGGAGGTCTGTCAAAGTGTCGTTACGCTGCGTTCAGACCGTGTTTTGGCCATCTCCACTGTTTTTTTTGCCACCATTGAGGGGCCCTCAAGTGATTCAAGGTTTCAAGACCCTCTCACTAGAGTCTGAGCGCACTTCCTATCTATGCGCCTTAATTCTTATTTTTTTGTCCTTCTTACTTTCAGTCTAATCTCTTTGGTTACAAGAGGAAGGCAACAAGCGGGATTGGAAACTCGCAAGCCGTGCCAAGGCCTCCGTAGGAGGTTTGCCCCACCGATTACGGGAACTCTGTTGAAACCTAGGCGAGCTTTTGGAGGCAGAGAACTTACATGTATAACTCATTTTCTTCGTGTATGTTCACTGTACTCTTA